AGGATTTCAGAGGGGGTAATGGGGTTTTGAGGCTAAATGTTGGTAAAAGAGAAAACACTCTGTGTCTGTGTCATCATCACAAACAATATACCAGTGGCAATATTAAGTTCTGAGCATCTCTAATGATAGAACCCAGTTTCGGTTTCTAACATACTTTTAGTGGGTCCTACAATTGCAAATAGAATTTAAGAACAACAAATTTCACTCTAATGGTAGAATCCTTAAGAAATTTTAATGTGTCCCACAATTGAACCCTTAAGTTTTAAGAACTGGCTCCTATAGAAGAACCATTCTTATAAGTGGTGTCCATGACAAGGGTCACCAATGGTGCATGGGAAATAGCTGATTCTTACATATAAGAACCCACATAAGTACCTGCATCAGAGATTTTGTTTGATTTATATGGTTCTCATATGAACTTTTAAACATTTAATGCTAACAATTTCATTAATTAACCTGAAAGGTAAGGTCAGAGATTTGTTGTAAAAGGCTATTCATGCAACTTCATCTAGAAGCCTATGCTTTTGGGAGTTACTTCATGACAATTCAGGAACTATTAAATTCTAATTCTTGAGATAAGGTGCATCCAGCTATGATAATTATTAACCATCAATAATTATCTTGAGTAATAAATTGGAGATTTTATGCGATAGTAAGATCCCTTGTCAAGGTAGCAATGAATCTCTTTATTTTTCATTCTGTCTAAGATTACTGATCTTTGGTTTTCAGGTGGTAAAGAAGGTACCAGTTCTTGCTGGTGTATGTGCAACTGATCCCTTCCGACGAATGGATCACTTCCTTAAACATTTGGAGTCTACAGGATTCTCTGGGGTACAAAACTTTCCAACTGTTGGGTTGTTTGATGGTAATTTTAGGCAAAATCTTGAAGAAACTGGCATGGGATACAGGTAGGTGTTATGTGAAGATTTCCCAATACAGTGCACGAGTTGGACTGTTACAGCTCTTACAAAATGATTCGTTTTCATATTAAATAAACAGCTTGGAAGTTGAGATGATCCAAAAAGCTCATAAATTGGGGCTCTTGACAACTCCATATGCATTCAATCAACGTGAAGCTATTGAAATGGCTAAAGTTGGCGCTGATATTATTGTTGCCCATATGGGTCTAACCACAACAGGCTCCATAGGTGCAAAAACTGCTGTTTCCCTCGATGAAAGTGTAGTTCTTGTACAAGCTATTGCAGATGCCGCACATAGGATCAATCCTAATACTATTGTGCTATGCCATGGGGGTATGCTTATCACCTGAACTCCTTTTTGTTTGTCTACTAGTGTGGATAATGTTATGTAAACACATAACACTACATCTACACCGTATTTCCGTATAGTATTTTGGTTTTTTTTAATTATTTTTGTCACTTTGCAAAACGTGCCAAGCATAATTTGATCCTATAGAAGACATAATTTACACGGTGTTGGTGGGAGGTGTTTGATTTTGTTTTAGCATAGCAATGCTCATTAATGTATTTTGATATGTAAATTTAGTGTTCTCCTGTCAGCTGTTGAATTCTAGGTCTAGTGACAGTTTATAATGTTTTTCATCAAATTACTGAAGGTTTAAAAGAAATATCTTCCTACCCTAGGCCTTGCGTTTGAGCCTGAGCATAGAATACAGGAAGGTTTTGGTGAAAAATGTCAAACCCAGTGGGGAAAATTTATGGAATTGTCTTGAATGATTTTTCAGTGAGAATTATTACTCGAGTGTATTTTGGTTGAGATATCCATTGAGAAAGGTAATAGTAATTGTTAAATGGAAAATCATTTTTGCCATGGTTGTGAGCAAAATTGTCTGAACCTCGGTAAGTTTTTGTGTTTGTTCTTACTTGGTGGGGTAAATTTCTATTTTCTAATTTGTTGGAGACTTTTTCCTAATTACTTTCAGCCGCCAGAAAGGCCGAGTCGTGATGTAGCTATTGAACCTTACTGCTCATTGTTATTGTTCTTAATGTCTAAAAGTAGCGGTCTGTGTCTGTCATTTTTTAGTCCCAGATGAGAATAATGTCCTGGAATTTGCAGGCCCAATTTCTGGTCCAGAAGAGGCAGAATTTATACTGAAGAGAACCAAAGGAGTCCATGGTTTTTATGGGGCATCAAGCATGGAAAGACTACCTGTGGAGCAGGCCATCACAAATACAGTCAAACAATACAAGTCAATCTCTTTTCGTTGAGGTTCAATATGTATGTGTGTACTTTAATCATGTCAGTGTTCTGTAGGCTACATTGCTAATAATGGCTGTTTGTCACTGTTTGGTATCTAGGATTAAATGATACAAATTTTGGAAATAATGAAGCAAATGTAATGGTGTAGTTTAAAGAATAAAGTGAAAGTGATGGGTCTTGTAACATATCTTAGTTTGTCATCTTATGCCTAACCCAGTTATCAACACTGCTTTTTTACTGTTGATGGTATAACTTAAACTTCTAAGCATCCTGACCCCAAATATATATAGCTATGAAGGACTGTGGATCAACCATGTTTTATGAAGCACCGACACAGATCCCGGACACGGTAATGACCCTGACAGGTAAAAATTTGATACAGTGAATTAATTGAATGTAATCATGTGTGCCGGTGCCGTTTTGGTGTCATACACCGGACATACCTTCCATCAAAAGTGTCGGGGCTATAGCGATATCTCTTTGATAGATATTGTGTTTACACAGTTGAGTAGTTTAAAATGATTAACATGTATTTTACAATGTGGTTGTGCCAATTTATATATGAGAGAATCTCTCAAGAAAGGAAAAATAAAATATAAGGAAATTATATCAATGCTACTAAACAGAAAATATTCAACACTCCCCCCAAGTTGGAGCATATGTATCATATGCATCCAAGTTGTTACATATATATAATCAACTTGAGGTCTCCACAGATATTTGGTGAAAATATCAGCTGACCGATCATTTGACCTCACTGAAGACATTTTAATGATGTCAGAAAGGGTTTTCTCTCTGATAATGACAATCAACTTTTGTGTGTTTAATCCTCTGAAAAGCCGAATCTGAAGAAAGATACAATGCCGACTGATTATCGCACATAAGTTCAATATGACCTAGTTCACAAAATCTTAACTCTTAGAACAAGTGCTTCAACCATAAAAGTTCACAAGTAGTATCGGCCATAGCACGATATTCTGCCTCTGTACTTGACCTTGCAACAAGTTGATTTTTACTTCTCCATGAAATTAAATTTACTCCAATCGAAAACACAGTAACTTGAAGTAGATCTTTTGTCATTCATATCACCTGCCTAGTCTGCCTCTGAATATCTAATAATATTGTTGAGACCTTTGTCCAAATAAACACATCTTTCCCCTGGTGACCCTTTAATCTACCTCAAGATCCCAACTACAACACCCCAATGATTATCCCAAGGTGAATTTAGAAATTGAGTCACAACACTATTGTAAACGAAATATATGGCCTTTGTCCAAATAACCTTGTTGAATTTTCCAAACCAAGCTCAAGGTGATTGCTTTAGACCATACAATGGTTTTTGTAACTTGCAAAACAAGACCTGACTCCCCCTGAGCAACAAAGCCAAGCCAGGTGGGTCCATAACCCACAGATCCTTGGATCGAAATCAAGCTCGGACTATTTCAATCCGAGCCCTTTGAAGAGTAATGTTATATTCTTGCTCACAAATAATCGTTCTACTCTTCTTCTTACTTTTAGTTCAATTCTGTTTTATTCTTCTTCTCTGCTTAAGTTCTATTATTCTATACTTTAGATTCTTTAACTATTATGTATGATGATCTCTTTAATTTTGTGTATTAGTCTATTTTTGAGTATTTATGTTTACTTTACACTGTTTTAAAGTCGTTGCAATAGCAGGTATCCCACTATTCGCTAAACATCAATAGCATTTTAGAAGGTTTGTGCTATGCAATGCTATCCGAGATTATCAACATAGGTCTCTGATACCAAGTTGAATAGTTTAGAATGATTAATTTGTATTTCAGAGGTTGTGCTAATTTATATACAATGGAAAATCTCTCAAGAAAGGAAAAATAAAATATAAGAAAACTATATCAATGCTAAATAAATAGAGACTATTCAACATACACTGTTGAAATTATCAGAAGAAAGAACACTTTTATTTATTAGATCCGTACTCTGGATAAAGACAACCTAAAATGTACAGATTCTTTCTTTGTTTATAGAAAGGTGACTCAATCAACTACTTTTGGAGCCTGGTTGGTCCATCGTTCCCTTGATTGTCTTCCTTTACATTTTCTTTCTCTTTTTCCTTAACTATTTTTGACAGCTTTTTTAACAAGGCCTACTCATAACTGATAAACAAGGGTGTTGATCCACTTTATTCCTTGGGTGTTGGGTCCACCTGCTTTGAGATTTCCTAACTCGAGAAAACATATGCAAATTTGCGCAGCAGAAAAGTTCCTCAAACTCAGGTTTGTTAGATGTCAAAATATTTGGATTATATCAATTTATCCCAGCGTGTCATGTAGTTACGCCATTTAGCTTGGTATGACTCATGAGTACTTTTCTGTTCTGTGGAATATTGTAGTGGATGTTGTGTATGGATTTTAATGTGCAGGTTAGTCCATATATTCAGACACAAGAGGTCCTTACTGTGTTATTATGTGATTGATTTATTCAAACAGTACAAAACACCCGAAATATGGTTCTCTCCTCACATGAACTGTTCTAACAAGCTGCTGGTTATTCTTTGTGTTGATTTACCCCCAAGTTATAACAGGTTTCATGATCCTCCATCGTCAAATTAAGTTGCAACTTAAGTTATTCTCTAATTTATATTTATATATAGTATGAAATTAAATAGATTAGCAATATCAATTCTTGAAAGTGGTGGAGAAATTTGATTATGCATTAATAATTCTTGAGCAGATTTATCTCCTATTATGCTGTTTGCCTCAAATCTCACAAGTCTGCAGACATTCATATACTCAGCTGTCTACTGCATCGTTCTTGGGCCTTCACATGCGAACACCTGTCTATGCCTCTGTCTCTGTCGTGCTCTTACTTATGGACTTCAACGTTACTGGACAGCCACTCTTTAGTCTAGGTATGTGTGCTTTCTTTTCTAAGCAAGTATCTAAATCATCAAGGGTCCACCTACACAGCAGTATCTTTTAATTCCCTTTCATCTGTTCATGAAAAAAGTGATAAAATTTTTGGCATGGCGAAAAAAACTCACGTGTAACAACTAGTTAGCCTGTGTAAAAAGACCAACATTGTCACTTTTGCCATATTCATCCCAAGGCAAGTCCTAGGCCCTGATCCAAAAGGTATAAAACTGTAGGGCTTTTGCATTTCCTGCAGATATAATTAGTGAAAAATAATTCTGTGGCAGAAAACAGTCAAGAAAAATAAAAAATAAAAAGAGGGAGAGAGAGCTAGCTACATCAAATCTTTGTGGATTAAATTTCAATGGATCCTTGAATAGATCTGAGTCGTAATGTATACAAGTTGCATCGATGTTAACATGCCAGCCTTTCTTTATTTCATAGCCTGTTGTTGATACTTGTATAGTTAATAACACAACCATGAACAGTAGAGACTGAGATAAAAGTCCTCCAATAGTTGAAGCTAAACCTAATAAAAAACTTGATTTTATTAATATCTTTAAAGGACTTGAGTAGTTTACCTTCAATTGTACAGTCGTTAAGTGCAACACGAGGAAACCATAATAGGACATTGGACATTCTTAGTGTTTCCTTAACTACCTGGAGAGAACACAGAAATTCTTGACAATTTAGTAACTCTGTAGTAGATGTTTCCATTTTGGAGACAAGTAATCATTTTTCTAATGTTTCTTTATTTCTAAATTCCAACCTTCAAACCATAACGCATGTTGTTGATGTCTTCATGATTAAGTGAAGCTCCTTCTGGCTTCATTTTGGTTAAAGACAACTGTTCGTCCTGCAAGTCAAGATTAACATTACACTAACATGCAAGGGAGAACATTATGATAATAAATTTAGATCTATCGGGTCCATGATTTTACTATAATAATTATAATAGGGTCATGCATCATCATCTCACCCTGAGTATGTCCTGTGCATCTCTGTTGTCATGTAGAAATTTTACACTCCACATCATTGCTGCTGCAGTAGTAGTCTGTCCTGCAATTATCAATGTCAAAAGATTATCCATAATCTCAGAGTCATCAAGCTTTTCACTGGCTGGGAATGAGTCTCTCTGCAACATCGACTGCAAGAAGTCCTCTGGCGACTCTTCTCCTGTCCTACGTCTAGCAATGATCTCTCTGAAGGTTTCCATGAGCCTTCTACGACCCTGCTTTAGCTACTGTCTTTAGTTCAACCTTATAAAACTTCAGGGAAGAAAAAGTAGAAACCAGATGTTTTTCGCCTTTTATATTACTCGGTACTCATAGGCAGCGAATAACTGACTCAATCACTCGAATTTAATCCCAGCAGGCCATTCTATAGTTTACATATAATAAAGAACTAATAAATCACATATCTGTGTAAATATCACTAACCATGATGCCTTTATAGTATCTTGTGCCTGGAATCATGACTGGGAAGGACAGCATGGCATTAGAGACAGCAGTGCAGTCTTTCTCGATCTGTCGTAGTGTTGAATCCTCCGTGATGCTCATCAGCATACCACACATAGCATCAAATGTTATCTTTATATGTCAAACATTTCATAGGAGTTAGGGGTCACACTCACACCATAATCAGTATTATGTTGTTGGAGTTTTATGTTTGTAGATCGAGTTACGATCTAAATGTTGCTACAGTTGTAGAATAATTTAGTTACCATCTAAATACTGTTACAGTTAGTGCTTTCAGAAAATATCAATATATTCTTTTGTGTGTGCAAAAGGAAAGTAAAAAACTTTGATTTTACCTTCATGCAGAAATCCAACACCTTAAAACTTCTCTCTTTTCCTTCTAGCTTTTGCAGCCTTCCGCACAACATTTTGTCAAACTTTGTGATAAATGCAGATAAGGAACTCATGGAGAATGGTTCAGATAGAAGACGCCTTATTCTTTTGTGGCTCTCAACTGGTACACACAATAAGCTTTTCTTTCCTACTGCATCTGCCATTGATTTTACGTAGCCCTTGTTGAATTTATCAAAGTCATTAGCAAATATTGTCCTTGCACCTTCAGGATTAGGAATAAATACGTGGACCTTGCCAAACAGCCTTGTCTTGAACCATCTCCCGTGCCTAATTACATCAAATCAACAAATCACCTGTGTTACATCGGCTCGTATTTCCAATTATTTATCAGAATTCGTCCAATTTTATAATAAATAGGATTGTCTTCTGAAAAACACTTTGGTCTAATATTCAATTTAGGATATTCTGGATTAGAACTCAATAGTGAATGTTATTGTTTAGTTGCATATTTAAACCAAAACACTGAATCACCTTTCGATCTTAACACTCAGGAACTATGTTCGGTATCAAACGGTTTGGCATGGCGAAGGAAGGTGGCCCAAATTGTAGGGGAGTTCACTCCCTTAATGGAGGCATGATCTAGACTTATGTTTATAGCCGAAAACATGCATATTAATGATTATTTTCTAATTGATTCCATTATGTGCTAGTTTAAGAATCTCCACAGTTAACTTGCACATGTGTAGTATACTATTTTGTTAAAAATTGAAGTGAATAGAACCATGAAAACATGGTTTAGCCTTAGACAATAAAACAACAATCAGCCACTATATGCTTGAGACAGATTCTTGAATTTTGTACACATCAAGAATTTCAAGATTGAAATAAATCACTTACCACAATCGTCTAAGTCTGACAAAATCATAGCATCCTTTTGTACTATTAGTGGCTGAAAGAAAAGAAAAAGTTTCACCAATAAGAGGTAATCCAAGCCGGCCAGGAATGTCTTCTCTCTTGTTTGTAACACTTTTCCAAGCTCTTGAAGCTAAATATGTTAATCCAATAGAGAGAAATAAGACCATGATTATGTCATAATAGTTTTGCACTACCATTACTAGTTCTTCCCTTGATAGGTTCCACATCTCTTGTTTTGTTGATGCCATTTCTCTAAACAATGGCTATGAAAAAAAGCCAAGTAACAAAGTCTTGAATATGGTTCAGCTAGATAGCACTTATAATAATGCTATATATAGAAGTAGAGATGCTTTGATTTATAAAATATTGGAATGAAGAGCATCTTTGGAAAGATTGCTAGTATACAAGATTAAAGATTCCTATAACTAGAAGACACACTATTAATGTAAGAAAGCGATTTTTTATTATTCAAAAGAACTTCACATCGATGTTGATCATTAAAGCGGGTAAACATTTGGATTCAATAATTCTTCATTAAAAAATAGTGGACTAAACTTGGGTTGTGATATGAGAGACTTGGATGTTGATTGAAATGCATATCATTATTCAACAGTTGTTTGAAAGCTACTTAAAATAATACAAGTTGAGTTTGTCATTATAGTTAATGGTTGTGGGATTTCAACATTAAAATACACACAAAGTTGTTACTTAAAATCAAGATTTAACTTGTACAGATTGCTCGATCGGCCAGAATTTTGAGTAAAATCAAAGTGTAAATTTGAATTTGGATAAATTCAAGTTACCTCTCTGAAATCGAATAGCATCTAACATAAATTTACTCAATTTTACCCAAATATTCTCCATTTAGAAGGAAAAAATCACTCCATTGTTTTTTGTGTGAATATTTTAATGATTTGGTGGAACAATTTATGTAATTTGATACAAATTTTTGAATTACTGATGTGTATATATATGGAACTGTGACATTATTTAATGTGCTACTAATGATTAATAAAACAAGTTTTTAGTGATGTTTAAATGGCACACGATTGGTGAGAATTGGAAATGGAATAGTGTTTTACCTTAGATTCTAAGTTCTAAAATAGGCAACAATATTATGATGTGACCTACTGAGCTTGTTTTACAATTTTCTTGAAATTTTACACAAAAATGGTAATTTGAGTTTTCTCCCTTAAAGAGAGAATAGATTGAATTGAAATATGATGGAATGCCACTAAATTCTCAAGGTAGCATAAAATGGTTGGATATTATAGACGTGTGAAAATGACAACTATAGGGTGGTGGTGAGGGCCATAACATAACCCATTACTATGCACTTGCAAATTGCAATGCTCCAAAATCACCGTTAAAGCATGAACTCTCCTTTTGTTGAATAATTGTCAACTTTAATAATTTGTATCTTTGTGGTGTGCTCCGAGTTTGTAGGATATCAAGTAGTTTTCACCAGTTCCACAAACCGTCGTACCCATTGTCCCAATCCACCTTTTTATTCAAAAGTGATAATCATAACGATGATTGCACGATTAGTTATATTGCTTGCAATAATAAAACAAATTTTATTTTTACACCCTCAATCAATGAGGGATGTGTATTATATTAAATCATGTTTTTATTTTTAAAATATTGATATTGTTGAAAAAACTTCAATCTTGAAGTTAAGCGAATCAATTTTAATGAACATGAATCAATCTTTTTTATTGATCACGCCTCTTGTTCTTCACCACAATCACTCATTGATTGCAAGATGATTCTACACTACACATAATTAAAAGACAAAAACAAGGCAATTGAAATGGAAGAAAAAGAAAAATTATGGAGGAAGAAAAAGATTGTATTACTGTGCAAACTGCACACAAAGTGTTTGTTACAATGTCTGTAACTCACAACTGTGATTTTTGAAAACTACACAGTGCTACTACAAAACTTCTTACTAATGAAATAAATTTTCTCTCTATTTATAATGTGATTACCTGCACTCCAAATAATTACAAAATAACTAACTTAACTAGAACTACGCTAAGTTAGTCAACTTCGACTTTGTCGATGTTAACTCCTTTTACCAAACTAAAACACTCTTCGACACTCGTCGAATACTATAGGGCTTGACACAAGAAAACACATATTTAACACATCATCTAATTTATCATGTTTAAGCTATCTACATTCATCACTGTTCTTAATTTCTAGAGCAATTCAATATGCACAACCTTCGTCATTATATTTGCAATTTGATTCTCTGATCTGCAATACTCCAGGCTCAACCTTCCATTCACTACCTACTCTCTCAGATAACGGAATCTCATTTCGATGTGTTTGTTTCTTTCGTGTGCTATCCGATTATTTGCCAGGTTGATAGTCAACATGTTATCGATCTTCATGGTCATTACTCCATGATTCTTCCATGCAATTTCTTCGATTGAATTCATTATCCATGTTGCTTTGCATGCACCTAGGGTAACTGCTATGTATTCTTCCTCACATGATGATAAAACTATCATTGGTTCCTTTCTCGAACTCCATGCGACTAGCGCACCACCTAACATGAACATATTTACTGCTGTCGATTTTCTATCTTCAACATCACCACACCAACTAGAGTTAGTGTAGCCCACAAGGTTTCATTCTTTTCTTTAATCGACTAAAGGAAACAAAATACCATAGTCGAGTGTTTCTTTGAGATACCCTAATATCCTCTTGGTGAATGCAAGATGGAATGCTTTCGACTTCTACATGAATCTGCTGACCATGCCTACACAACAGGTTAAATCTGACTTGTGTGACAATGATATCTGAGTGATCCGATGAGTCTTCTGTATTGCATTGGATCAACATCATCTTCAATCGAGTCTTTTATCAGTTGCAATTTGGCCTCAAATGAAGTCGAAATTGGATTGCAATCTTACATCTCAAATCTCTTGAGTATTTCACCTGCATGTCTTCTTTGGTGTATCATCAAGCCTCTACTACTTTTGTATAATTCGATACCAAGAAAGAATGAGAGATTTCTTGTATGATATTTCAAACTCCTTACTTAAGTCATGTTTGAAATCTTTGATCTCCTTCTTACAACTGCCTGTTATCAACAGGTCATCGACATAGAGACACAATATAAACAACTCACATCTGCTTCTCCTGACATACAGAGACGGAGCCATATTGGTGGGTATGGGGCTTGTGCCCTCACTAAGTTTTAAAAAAATATTTAAATATTTTTTTTTTTATATATTTCTATAACAATCGATAAAAATATAATATTTGTTTGCAAATATACTGAGAGAATGTTGTTACTATATATATTTTTGTTTAGGCCTTTAATATATTTATAATTTTTTTACTTTAAATGTCTAATTTAAAACAAAAATTAGTTTTGCACTTAATTTCAAAATAATTTTTCATTATTTTCTTTAAAAAATAATTATTTTATATATTTTAATTTAATATTAAAATGTCATCACAAAAGATCACAGATAATTACTCATACCATTATAAATTACTTATATATTAAAGATAAATAAATATTTTTGTTAATAGTAAAACCGGTAAAATTACCCTATTAAAAATTTAAGTTTTTAAATATTTTTAAAAATATATTTCAAAAAATAAAAATGATATATATTTTTATCTTAGAAAAACAATAGATATATTATTTTATAAACTCGTAAACTAATATGATGCCCTCACAACATAAAGTTTTTGCTCCATCGCTGCTGACATACACATCATGTTCTTTGGTGCATTTCTCAAACTCCGTCTTTCTTAGAAAGTCATCTATTTTCTTATTCCAAGCTCTTGGAGCTTGTTTTAGTCCATACATGATTTTATGCATCCTGCATTTTTTTCTTTCTTAATCCTGTATCACAAACCCAATTGATTTTGTTACATATATCTCTTTGTTTAAAGGGTCATTTAAAAATGCATATTTTACGTCCATATGACACATCGACCACTAGATTATAGAAATGAATATTTATTTTTGCAATATTAGATGAAACGATGAATGGTGTGTTAGTATTTATAGTATGTATGTGAATTATGAAGGCACATTAAATAAATTAGTAATTGAAGTGATGGAAGTAAGTTGTTGAAAGTGTTCGCGGAAGAGAATAATAGCATAAACATCCCATAATATGTCATGATCAAATTATTATCACACTTTTTTGTTGAAAAATATTAATAATCTATTTGGTCATATACGTGATTTATCAAGTATATAAGTATGATAAAAATACTAATATTTTAGATAAAGTAAAATGCTAAAATGACACCAAAAAGTTATACAAAAATGATATTTTTTGTTAAATGTAATTCATAGTGTAGACATATTTGTTTTGATGAGATTTGATATAATTTAGATTAGATTTGATTTTGAATATTTTGGGTCTTTTATGTTTTGGACTTTTGTAAACCTAAAACTATAAATATGTGTCTTGCTTTGTAATCAACAATAGAACAGATTTCACAGTTGCAGAGTTTAGCAAGTGAAAGTTCAATAGTAATCAGAAATCCCACAGTTTGTGGGTAACAAAATTTTCTGCAAATATTTCTTCTCTCATTCTTCTCTTTCTTGTTGTTTGTTTGGTATTCTTCTCTTTTGTTGTTCTTGATAACTCTTTACTTGTTATCACCATTACTATCATATTGTGGGTTTGTTCATCAATCTTGAGATCAAGATTGAAGGGAATTCTTCATAGGGTGTGAGGTGAATTTTCAACATCTGGTATCTAGAGATCCGGTTGAGAGATTCAAGGAAAGAAGATAATGATGGCGATGAACTATCTGGACGACAACTTTCTGACGACCCTGCCAATTCTCAAGAAAGACAATTATGAGAATTGGTGCAAGCAGATTAAAGTGATTCTTGAAAAGTCGTTTGGAGGCGCAGAGAAGGTGAAAGAGGTGAGGTTACAAACTCACAAGAGAACCTATGAGTTGCTTCAGATGGAAGACAATGAAAATATTACAGATTTTTTCACCAGAGTTCCAAAGTTGGTGAATCAAATCAAAGTATGTGGAGAAGCGCTGACGATGAAAGCAGTTGTCTCAAAGATTTTGAGATCGTTGGCTCCAAAATTCGACCACGTGGTAGTTGCCATAGAAGAGTCGAAAGATCTGTCAGTGTTGACGAAGGAAGAGCTTCAAGGGACTCTTGAGTCTCATGAACAGAGGATGACTGAGAGAGCTGCAGGAAAGTAGAAAGATATGGCTT